CGTATATTATGGCTTTAACTATATTCATATTGTAAAATATTCATGATGATATTAACGTAAAAATATTACGAACCTTTTTATAATTGTCAAAATTATGTCAGTAAAGTCAGAATTGCAAATATACATAGTTGCAAAATGATTAACGGAACAAGGACTGCATCTTGTCGCGATTTCTTGCATACGATCAGACGTCTTATGCGACCGGAATTAATTAAAGCCGTTCTGACATTATCTTGCATGCTTGCGGTACTTAATTGTATGCAATTATAATCTTCTTTCGTTACACAATCGTAGACGCAATTGCTTCCTGTCGCTGCAATTCGCTCCGCTCATTGTTGAATGATTCGTTGATAATTTTCGTAAACGAATGTAGTACTATTTAACCGTTCAATATATCAACAATATTTTCATTCGTGGGAAAAATGGACAGTTTTATAAATTGAAGAAAAATACATGGACTGCTCGAATCAGGAAAAATTTGTAGGATGAATTTGAACAATATTTTCTTATTACAGCAGCAATTTAGCAATATATATATATATAATATTCCTATAAACAATTTGCATTTGACTAATTTAAAAATAACATAAATAGTGAACTTTAAAGGTTAATTAATTTTGTAAGATTGTTAGGCGAAATTGAATATGTACGTACAATATCGTTCTGTTGATACAAAAGTGACATAAATAAGGAATTAGCATTATTTTTGAAAACTGAAATATCTAAAAATTTAGCTAAATACAAATTAAAAATAGTTTAGACCATCACACAAAATAATTGTGCAGAACGCTCAAACATAATAAGTAACATTGCAAAAAGTTCATCACTTTTAGTATTTTAAGTTTAATTAGTTTTAGAGAATATATATTGTATATTATATATATATATATATTGTATATATATATATAACATACAAAATATACATACACACACACACACACACACACACACATAATATAGCTATAGTTTTAGATACTTCGAAACCGTTCTTTTCATGTATAACCAGAAAGAAGATAGAATTATGAATATTCACTATTTATTTCTAATTAACACGTTGTTTCAATTCAGGTTTTTAAAAATACTTTATTGAAAAGTTACTAATTTAAAGTTATATCACTTTTCCATTAACAAAACGACTAATTCTGTTGTAGGCACAATGCCAAAAGAATTGGGTCGTGTTGTTAGTCTTTATCAAATTTCATAACATTCCTAATTAATGATTCTTCGCACGACGTTCGTCGCGTGTGCATGATCAAAAATCGAACCATTCGAACGCGTCTATGGCCAAGGCTATTTCGATCGTAGCGCGGCTCTTTAAAGACGATTCGTTTACGCTGCATGTACACAGCGATACGGACGGCGTGCATAACGAGACCAGCGAAACGGGTGTCCATTAACGACTGATGACGTTTAACGAGGTGTAGTACGTTTTTTTTTTCGCGCGGCGGACCGCCACCAATTGCGTTTATGGGAATTACATATGTGCGTCGCGACGTAATTCATGAAATCGACATAGCCGAAATAAAAGGCCGTTGCTAACTGGTCCGACTCTTTATATCGTTGGTTTAATATCAACTAGCCAGATAGCCGTTACAATTTGCGTCTTTTATGTTAAACGAGATTCGTAGTTATGTTACATTTTGTTTCTATAAACGTGAAAAACCAAAGTAAGATTTTACTAATCTATAACTGCGTTGAAGTAATAATACAAAGTTAGAACTCAAATACAATATAAATATATGTTTGACAGAGAAATATATTTTATATATTTTGAAAATATAAGTTTATTTTAACTTTCAATAAATTAAGAAATAGAAAATAATTTCCACATTTCTATTAAAACTTATTTTTATTATTTGTATCTTTCTATGTTACACCATATTTCATTTTCTGCTGAGATCAGAAAATAAAATCTGATAAATGTAATCTGTTATGTGTGTAACGCATGTCATTTCATATTATTACTTTATAATAAAATTATTTTTCCTGGTGTATTTTTGTTGTCTAGTTATTCAGTTAATTTGGATTATTTTATATGCGATATATTTACATTCGATTTCATAATAAAGATGCGTTACGGAGCAAAATGTTAAACTATGATGGACGTTTACGCGTACGTCATCTTGGCGCTCGTATTGCAGGAGCGAGCAATTTACTTTGATCGCGTATCACATACGCTATACATTATAGTCCCTTCACCGATCACGCTTCCCTTTCGACGCGCATCAGTTTCATTGACCACAGCGGCGATCGATGCTGTCTCTGTCATCCATCTATTCACTTCTCATCTTCTTCGCGCTTACGACCATTCATTCTTGCCGTCGTCGTGTGTGTCGGAATTGCCTCTTTGTGCGAGTTTCTTGAAGCCTATACCGTGTCTCGTTGTTACAATTCTAAAAGCGCACTATTTTTTAGCATGTAAAATTGATAAGAAAATTTTTTCAGCGATCGAAATAATTCAGTTTTTTTTTCTATATTATTTTATAATTTTATAATAGATATCTTAATAGATTCTAAAAACTAAGTTTTAAATTAAATTTATAATGTCTAATCATAATCTTCGAGATATTGCTAATAGCTCTATTTCTAATTTTGATTTTTAACCCTTTCCGAATTAACGTGCGTCGCCCACTCTCGAAACAATTGTCTTAATTTGAAGTTATTAATTAATTTACCTATCTAGAGAGATGTGCGACTTTCATGATACCTTATATATTCGGTATATTCAGGCTATTGTACAATTAACGTGTTTCTCGCTCGTAGCCATGGCGCATGGCTTTTGTTGGTTCGCTCGCGTCAAAGCGCGTCTGTCGGACCGAGAGGTAACTCGATTCATCTCTCGTCGGTTGGCGGCAACAGTCGGCGTCGAAACGTTGTTCCGTAGGCCGGCACAGAGCTCGCCTATTATTGTTTACGTAATGTTTACGTAACGTCACACACGTATACGCTGCATCAGCGATCGCGGTGTACATGCATCGGCGCAGATCGGCGAAGCGAGTCCGCTTTGAAGCTCGCCTTACGGAGCTGCCACTCATCGTATGCTTTTCTTTCACGATTTTAGCGACGATGTTCTTCAAAGAATTTTTGTCTTTCTGCTAAAATTATATGAAGTGACTAAAAACTTGGAAACGTCTAATCTAGTTGTAATTTATTGTTCACTTATTTTTTTCTTTATCAATTTGTTTTATTCAAATCTCAAATGATAGGGATACTTATTTTATTTCGTATAAATGTAAGTCTGAATATATTTTTAACCTTTCAGAGGATAATTTAGAAAATAGAAGATAAAAAATAAATTGTTTATGATTTATTCGGTTATTCAGAGAAAAAATTACGAATTATCAATGATCGTAGGAAATTAAATTTTAATTCTTCTTGTGAATGAAGATAGCATGCACTCATTCAGTGCATCTTATTTTTCCTCGTGCCTTGCGCTTTGTTCTTATCGCGCAAATCACCAGCACAACACTTTGCGCAATCTTTAATTTACAACGAGATACGTTTTGCAGATAATCTTATGGAAAAATCGACTCTTTTTCCACTGAGTTCTGATCGGAATTTATCGCTACAAACCATTACGTATATTATTTTACGGACCGAGTGAACGATATTCGGCACTTAAATCCATATCACGTTTCACGACGAACGATCGCTTATCGGCATTTTCGAGACAGAATATTACTGCGTGCGGAATGGAACGGACGTGGATGGAAGTGGTGAATAAATGCACGACGAAAAAAGAGAGAGAAAAGAAAGAAGACGGTTCAATTTCGCGATGCGGCGAGGCGGTCACACGTTGACGTGCGAATCATTTCATATTATTTTTCACGAGAAGCCCGTGAATAACATTACGATTTATATATCATGCGGAGAGCTTTGCACACCGAAGACAACGAGTCTTTAAGGCATGAAAGGGTGATTTAGCGAACGACGTCGATCGCGCTCCCGGGAATTATTAACGACGTGCGCACCTTCCGTTCCGGCTTCCATCACTCCCTTTGAATTCCTTCCTCCGTCAGCGTCTCGTTTCCTTATCCTTCGTGAAGAACGATCATTTGCGTCGCGATCGTAAGATTCTCGAGGAAAAATTGCATTAACCACCAAGTGAGTCCTGGTAATGTTGTCGCGCACGACGACGGTGACGACGAGTTCGTTTCATCACCGAATACTCTCTAGTAAAAGCACGCAGTTTTGCATAGATTGTATAATGTAGGTTTTTTTCATTTACGATAGTCGAGATCGATCGATTACGGTACGATAATAAATCATATCGGTCTCTTGAGGATTGCTCCCTCCTTCTTCTGTCAATAGTGAATTTATTTTTTAATGTAATTCTGAATTTCTTGATATTTCTTTTTCTCTCTCTTTCTCTTTTTTATGCTGTTTTATACTACATAGTAATTTGTGACGTTGTAATACTTGTTATACAATAAAAAATATTTTGTGCTAAATTGATATTCAACATTTCTTAATGTTAAAGTAACAATTTATAAATAAATAATCAAATAACATAAAAATAACTTATTCTAAAACATAAATTTTAATGTTAATTAATAAAATGTATGTATTTAATTAAAGTTAATTTTACTAAAGGAATATGCCACAATTTGTTTCTAAATTGTGTTAATTTTACATTTTTTTGTACTTACCAAGATTTTACATAATATTGATAACTTTCTAACATATTCATCCATAACATGTTAATCGACACATAAATTTGGACATGTATGGTCATAACTTTTAATATTATACGTACATACATGTCATCTATCCAAATTTTTTATATTACAATTCACGTGTCGCAAAAATTTAGAACACGTAAAATGTATTAAATATAACATAAACTTTCCACTAATTGTGCATTAAATATATTTTTTAATTATATTTTAATTATATTTTAATTATATTAGAGATTTCTCTATAAAATTCGCACAATATATTTTTTATCTGTACAAGTTAATGTTATCCAAATGACAGTTTGTTTTTTTTTGTAATTGCAGGCTGAGGACCTCCTGGACGACATCCTGTCGTTTGAGGCTGGTTCCTTGGGTGACGGACTGAAAGACGGCCAAGCTGGAAGTCTCACAAATATACCGGAGCTTCAAATTAAACCAGAACCTCTTTTGCTGACCGAGGCAGAGATTCATGCTCTCGCGAAAGATCGGCAGAAAAAGGATAATCACAATATGAGTAAGTCAATAACCACTCTTCCCGATGGGGGTGCGAAACATTTATGCATTGCATTAATTTTATAATTAAAAATATTTTTTTAGTTTTTAAATTATTCAGCTATAAGCTGTGATTATTTTTTTAACACATTTAATAACATATTAATTTATGATAACACTTTCATGATTGCATTATAACATTTATCAAATATTGATTTATTGTGGTTCTAATTAATTACATAGATATAATACAATTCATGGAATATTCAAATAATTAATTACATATAAGTTTTTATGATATTTGTTTTCAAGTTTCAACATTACTATTAGTGATTTATTATAAGAATAAATATTGTCTGCTTTACTTTTCGCTAAAAAGAGTTTGACGCTTGTTGCATCGTTATATTTAAAATTTCGTCTTCGAAGTTTATCTTGTACTTCCAGGTTCATGGTTTTTGTAACAAGATTGATGTTTTAATCCTACTTCTTTACATATAGTATCGCTTTGAATTGTCACTCGATCGACATATTGCAAACAATTACATGTTTGCCCGTGTAAAAATAATTGATAAGCGCCACCGTGCAATTTATACCTCAACAGTAGCAATCGGCAGTGTCGTGACGTCATTATTGTTACCGGTATTTACTGCACTTATATCAATACACGGTGCCTGCGACATAAGTGGACTATTTAAATAACAATGAAAGAGTATTGCTATGTCCCGCATTGTGTCGTTGCAATGGCCGTCTATTATTATCACAAATGTAGTCAATTAAACTTACGTCTGACTGTTATTTATTAATACAAACAACGGCGACAACCGAATATAAACAACGTCGACGTGAATTTAATGAAAATATTTTTATGTTGTTGTATCGACGTCATTTTTCTAAATTTAATTCTAATTTTTGAAAAGAAAACTTTTAATATTTTTTAATAATTTTTTATGCCATGTGATATTTTAAATATAATAAATAGAATTCTAATTATTTTTAATTGTAATATATATTTATTTTTCTTTTAGCATTTCACGCAATCTTAGTTTGCTAATGATAAATAAGCTAAAACAACTAAAATACTGAAGAGACGCAGACGCATACGCGGTTGAAATTTAATATTCTTTTTATCGAAGATTAGAAACACATATGATAATAATATTCCATGCACATTGTATAATATCTCACAATAACGTATTTTCAATTTGATACACGAACAATTTAAATGTTTAGAAAATTTAATAATAAATTTAAAAAATGCTTGTTATTATCGATATTATTAAATTGCTTGTCAATTTAATTTGTGATATTGCAGCTTCAGTTTAGAACTATGTTTCAAGACCGATAAATAATCAACAGTTTGCTTGAACTGAAAATTACAAAATTTTCTCAAAATATTATTAAATATTAACACTCGCTTTGACTGAATATGGTCTTTTTTGCTTATTTGTATTAAAAAATTCAGATCTACTAGATTTCAAATACGATAGTTTTAAGAGACGCTACCCTGCAAAAATCGAGACAAAAACATTACGATCATTTCCATCGAAAAATATTAAACGTCGAAAATCAATAAGAACGCTGTTATGAGGAATTCTCATTAAAGTGACGGAATTGATTATTCCCTATACGCAGCGGATGTAACAAGCGACTAAACAATTTTCGAGCGGCAATATTCGAACCATGCCGGGCTTTTACCTCGCCATTGCTATGTCGGCCACTGTTTTACGATGCGATGCACGTTACGTGCCGAATCGCGCGATTGTGTTCGCGCGAGTCGCGGCGATTCTGTAAATTTGACCGAGTAATCAGTGAGCTTCAATTATCTCGCCTCGCTTTCCGGCGCGGTGCAATAAAACTTGGCTGCATGTGCGAATTTTTCGATTCGAGTGCGGAAGTGCATACGTATTACAGATACGTTTTGCTACATCCCGATTTGTCCTTTTACAGAGAAACGTGTGCTATTATCCCTTTCCACATTTTGACAAGTTTTAAGTGACAAATCTAGTTTAAGACGAGAGATACGGACTTTTTTTTTATAAGTGTTATTAGATATGTCAAGGGTGAAGTGTTATCATGAAAAAAATTGATTTTTGCATTTTAAGTGCAAAGTTGAAAAATTTGTCTTAAATTTAATACATACTGTGTGTGTATCGTTAAAATAATAGTAGATAGAAGGAATAAAAATTTAATGACTTCTACCTTGTTAATATAATTCTAGTTTGTTCGATTTATAATTGCGATTTCAAGAATAAGAGATTGTCAACTTAATAGATACATAATTAAACAAATTCTTGCTCAAAAATAAATTACCTCAGATACATAAAAATTAAATAATATTCTTCAATCAACAATTTGATTTTAATGATAAAAAATGCACATTATTATAGGTATTCTTTAATCTACTCTATGTAGCTTTTTCTAGATGTAATCCGCTTTTTTCTACTACTGTATCTCGCCGTTGTCTCTCGCGATTAAGGCGTCGCTAAAATTACAAAAAATGGCATGGCGCTCGCAAACGAAACAAGCGGAAATCGTAGGCGGTGCCGGGGGTCGTATCGGGAGGAACCGAAGCATCCAATTTTCCGAAAACAATCGAGGACGTAATGAAAGTCCAGTTGGCCGGGGCGGAATCGGGATCGAATTTGTAAGAGAGAATGGAGAAGTAACGACCGCAGAGCACACGAGGACATCGGTAATAAAATAGGAATTCTGTAAAAATAGTCGCGCCGTCGCGCCGCTAATTCGCCCCCTCTTTGTCTCGCCACTTATCGACTACTATTGTACATCCCCGCGAGGTGCATTGTCGATTGCACAGCATTCTACGTGCACTATACATACGAGGAGACAAAAGAGGTGCTTATCGATGAGAGCCGTCTTTTTCTGCGGGATCGATATGCATGCAACACGAGTCGATTTACAAATGTGTTTTCTTTTTTTTAGTAAATTTGTTTAATTCTTTCCTTTTCTCTGTCATTAATTATTGCTTTCCCGAATCTGTTTTACTCAAGGAACATGATCAAGCGATTTCATTATCGTTTCAGATTGCATATATTATACGTTCAAGAGATTTGACACTTGACATTTTTTGAATCTAATAAAAATATCGAAATTTTTTCGAAGAAAAAATTGATTTTAACCAATAAATGACACTAAATATTTAGGTTATTTTTATACACTTGGAGAAACAACATAGTAGTGATGTATATAATACAACAAAACATAACGTTATGTATAGTATAGATGTATAATTATCCAAGTTTTATACAATATAATATATAGAATTAAGAGAACATTTTTATTACACATACTTTTAATAAAATGTAAAAGTTATGACAGACCATAAAATTTTTCGATATTGCATGAAAGGAATACGAAAATGAGTTTAACAGCAATTTAGAGCTTGAATTAAAATTTATTTCAATAAAAATCAGACTTTTAAAAAAATAATTTTAAAAATAGAAAAACTTTTTATTTAAACTAAATTTTTATTTTTCGCAATAAGAATTATTATTTTCAGATTTTAACGTCTATATAAGATGCCAAAAGAGCATCGAATAATTATTAAATTGTTAATCAATTTAATTCGTGATAGTACCGCGGTAGTTTATTAGAATTGCGTTTTAAAACCGACAATTGTTCGGTATGCAGTTTAGAAAGCCTATAATCAGCACATAAATTCACGTGAAATTATATACAAGCAACTAAGATCTAACTAGACTGTTATAGGCTTCGATTTGTATTAGTTAAATTATTATTATTATTATTAAACTAAATTTTATTTATATTAAATTAAATTCCTTGTTTTATTTTGTATTTAAATTTAAACTATAAAATTGTATTGTTAAGTAAATATATTCTTATTGAACAGTTTCTTATATACGTATATAATATTAATTTTTATATAGGAAGTATAAATTTCCAATTCCAGTTATTTGTTGTAGAGATCAAATCATTTATTATATTCTTAATGTATATAGTTGAATATTATTTTTTATACTTATTGCAACTAAAACTGATTATGAAACTAATTTTCGTAACCGATTGGTTTTAACTGCAATAATTATGGAATAAGTTTATTCAATTATGTACATTAATTTTATATGCATACAAAGTTTGATAGTTGTCATCTATATATTATAGTTACCTTCATTGTAAACAATATTTTATTTTTCTTTAAGTGTATAAATTTAACGTATTCTCTCTCTCTCTCTCTCTCTCTCTCTCTCTCTCTCTCTCTCTCTCTCTCTCTCTCTTGCTGAAGAAATCTGAGCTGAAATGCACATGAAGAAAATCCCGATTTTTATAATCGTAGAACAAAAAGCAAACCGCGCGCGTTATTTATCCGCTCGTAGCGTTCGTAATGCTCACTGAAGAGAGCAAGTTTGCATTCTCTTTCGTATAGGGAAACCCGGGCCAAAGCTGACAAGAGGCTTTTGTCTAATCTTTGCCCGTATCTCGTAGATAATTCCTTCCGGAAACCGGAGTTGGCTGATTGATGAGACTCGTCGTCGTCGATTAGGAAGGCGGTGCCTCTTGATTCCAAGTGAAAAAGCATAGGTTAGCGCATCTTCCCGACAGAATCGGGTAGGTTCGATCTTCGTCGCCATCGTTTGTCCCATCCTCATCCACATCGATTTTTCAGTCTGCCTCACGCTCCTCTGAATTAACCATCGTAATCTAATCAGCTGGATCAGAGGAAATTCCCTCCAGTCCCTCTCATTGATGCATGTCCACTCTTTTCTCCGTCGTTCTTCCGCTTCTCGCTGTCTCTTTCTTTTTCTCTTTCTCTCCCCCGAGACGAATCGAATTCGAGAAAGGAAGTTACAACTTCCTTGAAGTTTTCAAGGCTGCTCCTTCATCTCTTTGCGCGCGTGCGACGAATCTCCTCGATCTTGTATCTCGTCCTTTATAGCCTTGTTCTATCGTGCTGTTTACAAATATTTGTTTCTGTATGAATCAGCAATTTGCAGAATTTAATTTGGCATGACGTAGATCTGTGATGCACTTTGAAGTGTTCCAGAATTGGATGTAGATCTTATTTGGAATCGATTTTTCTTTTAACTGTATATATTTGACTTTTATACAAAGTCAGAATATTTTCCTGTATAGCTTAAAAATTTTATCTCGGAGTCTTTTAATTCACTATTTTCCTTATTTCTCAAAGATCAAAATCTGGATTTCCACAAAATTAAAATTCTATTAATTTCTTATCTACTTTTTGTACCTTTAACAATATTTTATTCTGATTAAAAAAATGAGAAACAAAACAATATAACAAGAGCTCTAAGAACTTATATCTTTATTTACTTGTATAACATTTATTAATGAACCAGTAATTAATTTATTATCTTTGTGTTTTTCTTTATTTGTTTGTTTATCATCTTCTATTTTGTTATTTAATTACTACTACATTTTATTCGTTTTCCGTTAACTTTTGCTTCTGGTCTACGATTCTTGTCGCATCTGGAATCGATTAATTTCAATGGAAATAAAATCTATGTATTAACTTTTGACAGATAGAAAAGCGGAAGAAAATTAACCATTAACCATTCCGTACCTTTATCGATTAATTTTGACATAATGCTCCGTTTACGTCATTCATAGGTTGTGATGTCTCTATCTGATATGCACTTTGACCAATTTACTTTTCCGGTAGTTTATCCTTCTTACAATCGCGATATCGGCACTGTTCACCGATAGCGTACCAAGCGGCTTGACCTTTCGCACCTCCGTTCGATTCGAGAGATACCTGGCTGGAATAATCGATCGAGAACGGGGTCACGTGCCAGCGATAGGGCGATCCGGTTCGTAGTCTTTCCGCAAGGGAGATACGCTATATCCTCCGGAAAGCGCGATATGCTTTCCCGAATAACTTCGATACGAAACGACGATACCTCGGATATATCGAGAGACGGGACGATTTGACCCTCGACAATTCGCACGCGCGTTCAGGACGACAACGATGTAATTTATTACGATCGAGCAATCGAAGGATATCGCGTTTGCTTCCAATCGTGTCAAGTGGTTGTAAATTCGAGGAGAATATTGTAATAGTCTAGATATATGTAGATCTATACTCTATAGAACCTAATGTCTAAGGAAATACAGATGAAATCTATATTTTTTCCATCTTTTTTCTTTCAGAATTATATAATTAAAAAAGAAACAAAGATATTTTTTTTGTGATTATTATACAGTAAAGAGCATTTTATATTTATGTTAAAATCGGTCTTTGTTAAAATTTTTATATTAATTTTATAAATTTTTAACGAGAAGTGTTAATTTAATATAAAGTGATTGTGTTATTTGAAAGTATCATATGTTAAATTGATATTCAGTGTTTCTTAGTATTAAAATAACATATTTACTTATAATTTATAAGCAAGTGAACAATTAACATTAAACTCTCTTCTCTCTCTGTAAGCAGTATACCTTAAAAATGAAAAGAAGAAGTATACTTCCCACTGCCCCTCAAAGGGTTAATATAAAAATAATGTAATTTTATAACACAAATTCTAAGATAAATCAAAAAGTGTATGTGTTAATTTGACATACATATATATGTTATTATAAAAAAAATATTAATTTTACTTCAAAAAATATACTTTCATTACTCGCTTTCAAACTGTGTCTTTTAACATTAATTTTTTACATAAAATTTTTGTTCTGTATTACGTTTATTGTATTCTTGTATTCATTTTTATATAATATTTGTTGCTTCTTAACATTCATCTTACATTAAATTAACACACAAAGGATTTCATACTAATTATGATATATAATAAATTGGATTAGAAAAATTAGTTTTCACATATGATGCACTTCATAATTTGGTGAGCACAAAAGATGTAGACACAGGTTTTATTTTTTAATCTAAGGTGCATTAAAGGTGTAAAACTTGTGCTCACAAAGCACCTTTGATATACTATAATTTAAAAACTATCCATTATTGAACTTTGTGTCTATGACGTCGAACGACATCTTTTGATGTCAGTCTGCTGGGGATACTTTGTTCATCATATTATAAATTACATTATATATAAAAATTAACTCATTTCGGTAGGGTTTAATTTTCTATATAATTAATGTGAGATTCTTTAGATGTATTAAATTTAATACATGTGTAAGAAAAACAAAAAATTGTATTATTCCATAGACTTAAGATGATTCCTACAGTATTATCATCATATAAATGTTTGATTTTCAACCTTGATAACTGTCGATTGTAGCGATTAGCATCTTTCATTTATATCTGATAAGATTTCTCATCTGATACGTTACTATTATATTACGTAACTATTATAGATGAATTCTTTACGAAATACGAGGCAAATCCCTTTCAATCAAAAACTCGAATAATTCAAGACGACTCCTTCTCGCACGCTGATCCTGGTCGCACCATTTAGCAGACGAATTAACAAACGATCTATCTATCTATCTATCTCATCTGTCGCGAGCGAGCCATGATTGATGTGCACAATTTCCGTTTTCAGTTGAACGACGGCGGCGTTTCAACATCAACGACAGGATCAAGGAGCTCGGCACCCTCCTGCCCAAGACCAATGACCCGTGAGTACGAATCTCTTTTCTTTTACCGGTTCTCCTCTTTCTTTTTCGCTTCTTCCTTGTCCCACGTCACACGTTTCCCCTCTCGCTTCACCTCTTGGCCATCGCCACCCCGTTTCTCGTAGTCCTCTTATTCTTTGCCTTTGCCTTTTGCACATTCCCCACGGACCATTATTTCCTGTTCGTGACCCTTTACGACGAGTTAGTCCAGGTCAGGTGCTCGAGACGAGAGGCTTTCACCGGAAGTCCATTCTTCGCCCCTTCCACCTTTCTTTCCTTCGCTTTTCCTCTTCTCTCGCTGGCTCCTCACGGCTGCTCGTTCTTCCTTCCTTTACTTCAGCTTTGTTTCCCGTTCACCCTGCCGCGCAAAACGCCACGCTTTCTCGTTTTAGGATGTCCTTCAACTCAGTGAATGACGGTAAAAGCGAGGAAAGAACGACGCCGCGAACCAGAAATACAAGGAGACGAGAGAGAGAGAGAGGGGGGG